GCACGCGGGAAGGCCTGGCTTCGTCGCCTCTCACTAGTGGGGGTCAGGAGTCTCTCCGTTTGTTTCTTTAGTACCCTCTGATAAAACAGTAAAAACCTGCACCTGTTTTCTTAATAGACATTCTAAGATTTTGCTGCATTGACTATTAATGGCATTTCAAGTTCAGACCTTAAATTCCTCTCCCCTTCACTAAGCTCTCTGAGCGCCTCCTGGCTGGCCCCTGGGGAGCACGGGGGTCTGCAGCTCCCCTCTGTCCCTGTGCCTGGGACGGAGCGTCGGCCACTGTGATGAAGGTCTGTTTAGCACTTATGTATTTATTGTAAGAATGATTGTAATGAAGACACTGTAAATATGAGAAATTATAAATAAATTTTTTCACAGGAGACTGAGTTTCTGGAGGTGAGGGGAAAGCACTACTATCAGCAAAGCACTCGGCAGTTCCCAGGGTAGGGTGACAAGTAACCCATCAGAATGAACAGCAATGCCGTTTGCCTCCAGGTCTCAGCACCTGGCTCCGAAGGCGCACACACTGGAGTCCTTCATCCCTCTATTGCAGGTGGAGGCCTGCGGTGCCTGCAGCCCAGGGTCCCAGCCGCTTACCCCGGAGCCAGGAAGTCTAGACCAGTGGTCGGCAAACTCATTAGTCAACAGAGCCAAATATCAACAGTACAACAATTGAAATTTCTTTTGAGAGCCAAATTTTTTAAACTTAAACTATATAGGTAGGTACACTGTTATTAACTTAATTAGGGTACTCCTAAGGCCTAGGAAGAGCCACACTCAAGGGGCCAAAGAGCCGCAGGTGGCTCGCGAGCCACAGTTTGCCAACCACTGGTCTAGAGTGATCAGGGAAAGAGCCTTGAAAAATAAGTCAAAGATAAACAGATGCTTGGAAAAGAAGGAGCTATTCTTAACCAAAGGGCCATGAACACAGGAAACGGGTCTTCTGTCCCTTTACCAGATATTATACCTCGTAGGTGGTAGCCTCTCTTGGTTGCCTGAATGTGACCTTATTTTGGATCCTTTTTACAAAACACACTATCACCCTCCGTGTCATCTTGTGTCTAAGTCCAGATTTCAGATTCTGGTTTGCTAAAGAAGCCAGGCCATCACTGTGTACCTGACTTATTTAGAAAAGCTCCGGTTCTCACTTCAGTCGCCCCAGGGTGGAGATGGGTATAACAAAGTCACCCCCCTCCTCCCCCCACAGCCCTCGCCCCCACTCCCTGCTCTCCCTTCCCTCGCAGTGAGGACCGGCAAGTGTGGTGACAAGAGCCACAGGCTGGCCGAGGAGACTCCAGTCCTCTTTCAGTGCGGCCATTGCCTCCTCATCGAAATCCAGCTAAATGGGCAATCTAAGCACACAGCCCAGCAGGATTCCAGTAAAATATAATGCAAGATGTGAAATTTTAAAGTTCTAGTAGCCACACCAAAAAAGGTAAAAGAAACCAGTGACATTAATTTTACTATATTTTATGTAACCCAGTAGATCCAAAATACTATAATTTCAACATGTGATCAATATTTTGATATGAAAGAATTTCATTCGTGGTTTTTTTCTCACAGCAAGTCTGAAATCTGGTGTGTATTTTATCCTTCTAGCACATCTCAATTCAGATGCTACATTTTCATTGAAAACATTTTATCTATATTTAGACTTCATAAAATTTACAGTTGAAAAAGCAGATTCACATACTTGCTCCAAACACACCCAGAAGTTTTCCAAATAACTGAATTATCAGCTTTTAAATTTAAACTTATGAAAATAAAATAAACGGAGTCTCTCTCATTTCACTAACCACACTCCAGTGCTCCATCGGCCCATGTGGCCAGGGCAGCACAGCCACCGTGCGGATGTGGAACACTGGCCTCTTCCTTTGAGAGGGTTAGACCCGGAGGACTTCCACACAAAAATAAACACTGGCGTGAGGGGCAGGGGGTGGGAGACAAAGGATAGGAGGACCCAGGGAGGCAGATACGGAGGGCAAGGGCGGTAGGAAAGAGGGCAGGTGGAAAATCAGGCCAAGGCGAACAGACCAGCTGACCTTAGACCAGCTGCAGGCCTCCTCCACCTCTTTCCCTGGCTCAGGAAGGAGCGCTCCCCAGCCCTCCCTGCCCTGGCCATGCCTCTGGGCCATGCCCTGGGGTCCAGATGCTCAGCAGTGACTCCAGCCTGGGGTGTCCCAGTGCCTTGTGGGGAAGCTCTGGCTGTGGACACAAGGGCGCCTGGTTAATTGCCAGGGACCTGATGCTGCGGGACCCTGACCCAGGGCTCACTGCAACCCGCCCAACCCTCATCTCCTCGGTCCTGACATTCCTGCACCTGAAAAGGCAGTCTCCACTCCAGCCCCCAGGGGACCAGCACCTCTTGAATTGTTAGTGGTGCCTCTGTTAGAACAAGTTCCCTTTCTTCCTTCGAGGTGGGGGGAGAAGTCTTGAGAAGGGGACCAGCACCTCTTGAATTGTTTGTTAGTGGTGCCTCTGTTAGAACAAGTCCCCTTTCTTCCTTCGAGGTGGGGGGAGAAGTCTTGAGACCCACTTAGAAGAGGAAACCAGACCTCTGGGGCTGCCTGCGGGGAAGCGGGGTGTCACCTGTGCCGTGGGCACTGTTCTGGCATCACCATCCGTGTCCACATTGGAAACGGCCTGGCAGGATGCATGGCCCAGGGTGTGGGGGAAGGTGTGGAGGGTCCCCATGCCTCACCCGTGGCCTTTCATTATTGAATGACTGGGCAGAGAGAAGGGCCCAAGTGCGTTGTGGTATGGAATGATTCACCATAACAACTTATTGCAACCAGGTCAGCATATCATTATGACTGCAGGTCGCCCAGGGCTTCAGTATTGCCTCTCACTTGTATGCCTTTGACTGTTTCAATGCACCTTCACTCCAACAACCCAGGGAAGAGGGAGCAAGGCCCTTATCTTACAGGTGGGAAACGAACCCGGGGCTCTGGCTCTGGGCTAAGCCAAGGCCGCACAGCTCCTGCAGTGCTAGGATCTGCACAGCTTCCACAGCCCCAGTGACATGGAAACACCTTCTTGTAATAGAATTCACTGTGCTGATCTCCATCATGCCGTAACCTCATAAAACCCCACAGGCTAAAGGCACTAAAGCGTCTCTGCCAATGATTTCTGGAAAGTCAACAGCCACCCCCGCCTCCAATCTGACTGGTAACATTAAACCCTGGCCTCTGTTCAGGAAAGTCTGACCAAGGAGTGACAACTGCAAGTGAGCAAAGGAGTCAGCCCAGCGCCTGGGAGGGTACCCTCACCTCTTCATGCAGCAGCACAGGTTCCCAAGGCCACGTTCATTGAACCCTCCCTTTTCCTAAGGCTGAACTGGAGAGAAGGAGCACACGTACACAGTATAATTCCATTTGTATAAAATTCCAAACTATGCAAACTATCGTGACAGAAACAGATCAGTGGTTGACTGGGGATGAGGTGGGGAGGACAGGGGGAATGAAGGGATTGCGAAGGGGCAGGAGAAATTGTTGAGGTGAAGGTGTGTTCATTATCTTGAGGGTGGTGATGGTTTCTCCACCTATGTCAAACCTGCTCAAATTTTACACTTTAAATATGTGCCATTTATCTTATATCAATGATAACTCAATAAACCTGCAAAAAAAAAAAGGAAAAATACTCCCCCATCCTCAGCCAGATGACACCCTGCCCGTTCTGGCAGGTCCATTCAGAGCTTATCCTCCTGGTCCATCTAGAAACTTGGTGGGAGCCCAGGCAGCGTGATCTCTATTCACCTGGCTGGATGTGACCTCTCGATACTCTAAGTCAAAGTCATTATTTCTGCCTGAGTTCACTCATTTCAAATATTAACTTTTAATTACCTGCAAGGAAGACAACAAACACAGGGCCCCTGGGTTCAAGGGCGGACTGAGACCTCTCCAGCAACTCCGTGTCAGGGATGACAGAGTCAGCCGGCTCCTCTGGAAGGAGCAGACTCTTCTGGAGAGGCAGGCGACATACCAGTTAGTGCCTCGCTGAAACCAGTTTCCCACGCTACCTAGACATCCAACAACAGCTCTCAGGCATCTCAGTTCCCCTCCCTCCTAACTACCCAACACACAACCATCTGAAAATCTTTCCTGAATATGGTACATGCTTTTTGCGGAGAGCATGCATGATCAGGAACTTACCGTTCCCTCCTCGTCGCTGTGGGAAATGTGGATGGATCTCCTGTGATACTGTTATACAC